CACCTAGCCAGTAAGCTTATGGAGGTAACCATGAATGGGCTTTTTCATGGTTTACGTGGTAAATACTCTAAGGGACGCAAAATTTTCACAGCCAACCAGAACACCAAAAACGCATGGCCGAGAAAAACCAATGAAAAGCGATCAGGTTAAGTACCAATCACAGACAGCCAACGAGAGACTAGAGATTGCCTTAACGTTAGATAATGCTGCAACTCAACACCAGAAATGGATCTTAACAGTTACTGCAACTGTTGAAATGATGCGTTAACACGAATAGCAAAGAATAAAAGCAAGAAGAGGTAAACTTCGTATAAAACCGGTCAATTCATTATTTGTGTGGGTAGGTAAGGGTGAGCACGGTCGAAAGTACACGGTGTCCCGTCAACCGTTAAATTCCACGCCTTTCGTGACGGACCTCGGTATACTCTCAAGCTGCGTCCTAAAGTCCGTTGACAACAGGGATAGGCTTTACATAAACGGACTTCGGATGCTTTGGGTGCTCAAGCGTAGTTTGTGAACTTGGTCCGAATAGATGGCCACTCGCTTCTTCGTCTCACTCAGCCGACTAATGCTAGAGTAGGACTCACCCACACACTGTCATATCACGCTGGGCAAGGCGGCAAAGATTGAGATGGTAGAGCAGGTAGTCACCAGCCGCATGCCCACTTTACGAGGAACAATGGAATAATGGTTTTATACGGGGAAAAAGCTAATGCTTAACAGGTCCCATAGAATGGTTATGGTGAAACTTCAAAATATACAAAATTGTTAGCGAAATTGGATTTACACCAGTGAACTCACTGGAGTATACGTAGTTTGGACTGTAAATCCAAGGTAAATCCTTAAGAAATGACGGCAAATGAGATGTTGGTGAAAATCGTGTCTGCTTCTGGCGTACACATACAGGAGATGAAAAGGTGGAACGAAATCTGGGGTTTGACTGCCAGTGAAATCTCTTAAAGATACTTGTGTTTATCTATGGGTAATGGGTCATGTAAGATGGTACAGTGAAATAGGTGCACAATCAACTCGGGCTTTGAACTCTGCCAGCGTGGGAACACAAATGACAGATTCTGTTTGGGCGTTCCACGTTCTGCAAACGTACACGGAAAAGAAATCCGACGGCATTCCAAGCGACTGTGCTTCGCTCCCAGTTTGGGATGGCGGCCTCTCAAATTGCTGTTGTGACTGAACTCTAGCAAACAGCGGCACGTGTGGTTGGGATCACTCAAAATTTGGTCAGTTAAATGAGGTCCCCACACAATCGCCGATACTATCCGCTGAAGATCCCGAGCACTTGAAGTCTTCGTTCATACGGCAAATTATATGGAGCATTGACATTCGTAGTTACCCGGCGTTGGATTATCTCCAACGCAGTGAGATCCTTCCTCAGCCATGGCTACCAGACTTGTATTGCGTATTCCACTCGTGGCCGTATGTATGAGCCGAGAAGTTGTGAAAAAATCGAGGGGTCGAATCGTCCGAATGTAAGTTTCAGGAGACCCACATGTTAGATGTCCCTCCTAAATGCCGTTTCAACCTGCTTTGAATATCCAAGGTCGAACTGGACCAAAACTTCTAGATCCTTCCTGCCAGAAGAGGTTTGAAGCTCCTGGTTGCCGAGTTTGTAGGAGTGCACCAACTTGTGCCGTAGGTGCAGCACTCTACATTTGTCCACATTGTATCAAAGTAGATTCTGGACTGACTATGAATCAAACCTATCCAGATCAGCTTGAAGTACTGGGATATAATCTGCTGTCGTCAACGCCCTCCACACCTTAATATCATCGGCATAAAGAAGGCAGTTTGAGCTTATGATGGGTGTGATATCGTTAATATATGTCAAAATAATCGCGGTCCTAGTTCCGATCCCCGTGGTACTCCGCATTTAACTCTGATGAGATCTGGCAGCGATTCACGCACACATACTTCCAGGTGCCGGTGCAAAAGAAAACTTCTGATTCATCCTAGGAGAGGATCACAAATATCGAAGGTCTAGAGTTTAAAGAGCAGAAGGTTATGGTCTAACCGATCGAACGCCTTTGAGAAGTCTAGAAAGACTACATCAACTCCTGCGCCAGAGTCTACTGCTTCCGTCCAGCTGGATCGTGCCAGTAGTAGATTTGTAGTGCATGGTCAATGTCCTCAGAAGCCATGCTGATCCGGTGCGAGGTAGTTATATTTTTAAGTATACCGTTAGTGCATCAGAAATAATACCTTCCATGACCTTTGAAAGAACCGGTAGTTAGATTATGGGACAGTAGTTGGCTGGATTTGAAAGACTATCCCCTTTGTAATTAGGAGCAATCACCCCATATAACTACATGTCGGGCAGGTAACTTTCATCAAAACAGTGTTGGAAGAATCTAGCCAAAGGCTCAGCTAAACTCTCTCCCACTGCCGCTGATGTATATTATCAACTCCAGGAGAGCTGTGCTCGCGCATACTCAACCGCTGTTTTAGCACAACTTCTGCTGTGAAGGATATGTGAGTGAGTTTTAGGGGTAAAAGAACCATCGTCATGTGGTTAGGTGGTTAGTGATGACACTGAAATGTTGCAGCATTTTGTAGGCGTAGGGCATTCGCCGACTCCTTCGGTGTCCGTGTGGGTCCGTCCGCTGTTTGAAGAGGAGGAATTCCCCGTTTTAGCTTACGTAGATTGTTGATGTGTTGATACAGAAGCTGGTGATTTGAGGCCATACACACTGCCAGTTTCTGCTGGTACGCCATTCTATCCTCGCAAACAAGCTGAGTACAGTGGTTACGTTGGATCGTATAGGCCATCCAGTTCTCGGTGCTCAGGGAGGGTTTGTAGATATGCCAAGCTGACTTTCGTACCGCTAAACACTTGCGTGTCCTGCTTCACAGAAACGAGACCACGTTTCTCAAACGGAAGAACTTAGTCGCTGACCCTTCGGCAACCAGAGAGTTAAAGTGGCTGACGAAATGTTCCCATGCACTAGCTGGTGCCTCGTCTGTTAGAAAGGTCCAGTTGGCTGTCTCACCTAGTCGAGCTAATATGTCGTAGCGTACATACACTCTCGTTGCGTCGGCAATTTCCACGGGATATTTTGCGTAGCAAATGTATTCGAAGAGTAGTACTGCATGATCGTTGCGGCCCAAAGGGACGTCGACCATCACCCCCCTCGACCATCAGTTCTTCGTTGGTGAATATCCGATCCAGTATTCCGGCTTTTTTTGCGGAATCGGGTGGGTGTTGATGTGGCCATACAGTGGGTAACTGGAGACGAACTTTTGTAGATCAGCCATAAACTGTTCTCCAGGAGCTGCTTAGGATTCCAAAGCGTGGAGGTTGAAGTCGCCAGTAATGAGAATATGATTGTTACTTGTGTTTATCACTCTCCTTATTGCAGATGTCAGATAGGAGTCCATCGCAAACGTGGAGGAAGGAGGGCGGTAAATCACTGCCACTAAGCTAGTGTCATTGCCTTTTAAAAGCAGACGGCACCGAAAGGAATCTTGCACCGTGCTGACCAGACCGTCTTTGAGTTCACAGTGGAGGTCATTGCGGAAGTACAGAGCCACCATTCCACCCTCGCCGGGTTCGTCGTGCCGAACAATGGACGTGCCTGTCCGTGCGATCTTCATGTCACTTATGTCAGGGCGAAACCATGTCCCTGTTATAGCGATGAGGTCGCAAGCTTCGGATACTTGACACAGCCGCATTTCGGAAAGTTTACTCAGTAAGCCTTGAGCGTTGGTATCTATACAGGAAAGCTTCTCGTATGTCAAAAGCTGTTGACTAGGAGCACATGAATGATGTGGATCTGTGCCTGACTAACGAGAGGCCAACACCTAACCGTTTTTGGGTGAATTCTCAAATCTCGATAGGAATGCAACCTGTTTTTGGTCTCGCTTTCACCGGTGTATATAGTCCATCTGCGGTCTTTTCGATAACTACGGGTCTTAGTGCACAGGTTTCTGCATCGCTGTTGTGGCTATATTGAGTCGCAGGTGGTGAAATTTCAACGAGAACAGCGATTAACTGCAGCTCTCCAACTGCTGTGTTCAGTCGTAGTCCCGAAGGAAATGCATTGAGTATAACTGCCAGCTACGGATTAAGTTCACGGCCATCTGTTGTGACTGTACCGTTAGTTTCAGTATTCTCGGGCCACTGCATCTGTAGTTTAGCGACACGAGTAACCGTGTGATCGACTGAAGGACGACGTGGTGCACACAAAGAGCTTCACGGATGTAATGCCATGCTTCCAGGTCATGAGCGCGGGCTTCTTCGTTCCTGGTTGTCGGTAGCTCGGACACGTCATGAACAAAAATAATTCTTTTGTTAATTTCGGTCCTTTGAATAATTTTTGTCCCGCTGACGT